ACCTGCACCTATGTTTCTTCAACAAATGAACCCCTGCTGGAATTTCTGTCTTAGAAATGACTGCCTGAGAGCCCCCATCTAGACCTAGATCATTGTTGTATCTATAGTCATTAATGTTCTTTCTTGCCTTTATTGTCTTCTCATCAGGGACTTAGTAACACCAGCAGTTGTAGTAGAGCAAACCCCATGTGTCTGAAATGTTTGGCAGTGAGGTAAAACTATTTCTTTTTGCTGCTGGTGTTGTTTTTCATGTCCCAATGGAAAACTCAATCACAAGCAATTCAAACACATACCTTTGTTTCTTTTCTCGCTTTACAGGAGTCAACAGTTGACGGTGCTCACATCAGGACTATCAATGCCCTGGCCATGAAACTGGAGAGACAGAACAAGGAAGAGACAAAGACAATATACGAGCGCCGAAAGCATCTCAATGAGAAGTGAGTGTGCTCTTAAATCTTCTGTGTAAAGCAAAAACAAGAGGGAAAAATTAGGTGTCTTTGGCTGGGATAAATGGAGGAATCGGAACATATGTTTTCTTCTTTAATACCATGACCACCAAACATCAGAGACTGGAGTTGTCTAATACTCTCAGAACAGTTAGCTAGAAGGATTTTTAATCCAGCAGGGCCAAAGTCATGTTTCTAGCCTTGGAGGCAAACACGCTGTCTCACAGCACTTGAGACAGTACATTCATGAACCTAAGACACTTCCATCTATTCACATAGTTGTCCTAGTGAATTGCCTATTGCTTCTGCTGCTACACAGTCCACTGTCTAAGAAACAAAAGCATGAAGATATGGATTATGAAGTTATTGAGAGTTTAAGGAAACTGGATCAGTACTTTTTAGCTTTTAGCCCCCATGCCATCCTGAAAACCTGGTATAAATATAACCAGATAATCTTCTCACACTAATGCTTTATCTCTGTGATGTGCCCCGTTATGGGGAGTTGGGGATCAATGCATAAGGTAGTTCAGAAATCCTGTCTTTTTGCTTAAATATGAGCATCATGAAACTCAGTTGTGGAAATCCTTACCTATGAAATACATCTCTAAAATATTATTTTCAATAAAAGGTGGAACAGTTTCCATGGTAACCTGAATGCATACAGGAAGAAATTAGACGGAGCCCTAGAGTTTCATGCCTTAATCAGAGAAATAGATGACATCACAGAAAGAATTACTGAGAAGGTAAGTTTTCAAATTTTGATTGATGAAAATGGAAAAATGTTGTATTTTGCCAACACCAATAAACCCAGGCATGCTGATTTCGAGAGAGCCGCTGAGTATTCAACAGTGATCTTTGATAGTTGTCTGTGTTTAAAGTGTGTAGGAAGGCCGAAATATCATTAAACAGTGCAGATTACCAACTCTAATGCATTCATTAAAATGGGTATGTTTGAAATGTATTGTGAGAAATCACAGATTAGAGTCGCAATAAAAGGGGATGCTCTCTTTATATAATGAGAGGTTACAGAGAAGATCAAGTTGAACTCTCCCTGGAGGTTCATAGTGAAAGTCAGTGGGTACAAGTAGCAAAGTGAGGAGTTCAAAATAGGTGTAAAGTGAAAAAAATCACAATGAGAGTGATCAAACACTGGAACAAGTTACCTGAAGAGACAGTCCTTGGAAAAATTCAAATCTCAACTAGATCGGACTCTGACCAATCTGTCCTAAGGTGACCCCGCTTTGGGCAGAGATGAGACTAGATGATGTTCAGAGATCCCTTTCAACCATCCTCCTCCCTTGACCGGCTGGCGATGCTTTGCCAAATGCCCCCCAGGACAGGGTTGGCCCTCCTGGCTGCCAGGGCACTGCTGACTGATATTCAACTTGCCATTGGGTACCCCCAGGTCCCCTTCCACAGCACTGCTTTCCAGCATCTCATTCTCAGTCTGTATGAACATCCAGGGTTGCCCCATCCCAGGTGCAGAATCCAGCACTTCCCCTCATTGAACTTCATATGGCTGGGATTGCTCAGTTCTCTAATTTGTTGAGGTCTCTCTGCAGGGCCTCCCTGCCTTCAAGGGACTCATCAGCTCCTCTCAGTTTTGTGTTGTCTGCAAAATAAATATCCCTTCCCATCCTGTGTCCAAGTCATTTATGAAGATGTCGAGGAGCACAGGGCCTTAGATGGAGCCCTGTGGAACCCCACTGGTGACAGGGCACCAGTCTGATGTCATCCCATTCACTGTTACTCTCTGTGCTCGACCTGTGAGCCAATTGTTCACCCACTGCGTGACGTGTTTATCCAGCTGTGTGGATATTGTGGATAATGTGCTGGACATTTTGTCCAGAAGGATCCTGTAAGAGACAGCATCAAAAGCTTTACTGAAACCCAAAAAGTATACAACAACTGGCTTCCCTTGATCAGCTAGGTGGGTTACCTTGTCATAAGAGAAAATCAGATTTGACAAGCAGGACTTTCCTCTCGTGAAGCCGTGCTGGCTGTGACCGATGACAGTGTTGTCTTTTGGGTGTTTTCCAATATCTCCCAGATAAGATAAATTACCCCTCAGCAATGATGTCTTTCCACTAACTGTAAGCAGAATTAGACAAGTCATGAAGTAGTAGCATCCTTACATTTCTAAACATCTCCATGTGGTCTAGTTAATCCTCCCACAAGGAACAAACACAGCAAGATGCAGTAAGAAGAGTACATATCTTAGAAACTAAGGGACTGGTGCCTATTTTTTGCTGTGTTACTGGCACAGGTGTGCATCTCCTTCAGACAATGCTGAGCCAAGTTAGTTCTGAATACCAAAAGCCAGTTAGCTGAGTTACCATAGAGCTGTTTCTGAATTACCTACTTAGCTTGAATATAACAACTTGTAGTGTACCAAAACCAGTTCATTCAACACTAGCTTGCATATCTCTCCCTGCTGTGCAATACAGAGCTATTAAATATGCAGCTTTGAGAAGTTGCATAAAATCTTATTCATTCAGAAAATTGAAGTAAAAATACCTATCCTGGATTATATATATGCTATATATTATTATTATAGATATTATAATATTATATATTTATTTAATTATGTGTCAGTAGATAAGTGGTACTACTTAAGGTATCACAAGGCTGTTGGCTCAGAATTTTTATAGCAACTTTTACGAATGTATTTCTTCATTTTATGGCATCTAATTTCTGTTAGGAGCTTGAGAGTCAATTTTATTTTTCATATTTTCATAATATATATCTGAAAATTTCTCTGTCACAATTTACTGGGAAATATTTTTCTGGTTTGGTATTTGGAAAAAAAAAAGGAAAAAGAAAGACTGAGAAATGCAGGGAAGCATACCTGTCTCTGTTTTACATGTGAATGGCCAGAGGCATCTTAAGCAGGATTATGACTGTTCAAAGAGATGTGGAACCTTGTTTCATCTCTGTACCGGAAAGCAGACAATGCACTCTGATGATATTTAAAAAGACAATAAGAACATTTAGATGGCAATGCAAAGAAGTGAAGGAAAAGACTCTTTGAAATAATTAAGATATGATCCTTTTGCTTTGTGTAATCTTCACCATTTGCACATCTTACTGCTCCTTCCAGAGTGTACTTATACAAGCACTGGATTATGGAAAAGATGTGGAAAGTGTGGAAAACCTGATTCGAAGACATGAAGAAATGGAGAGAGAAATCAGTGTTATAAAGTCCAAAATGGAGGTAAGTAGTGAGGAAGTACTGTAAAAAATTTCATTTTACTTCTTGGAAATATGGTGCAAAAATCATTTGGATTGATTAGTATGAATTTTCTGCAATGCAAGTGCAGCATAAATTTCTTCTCAGTAAAATACCATTCTGCTTATTCCTGCTTTATCGTATCAATATCATTCTTTCTGATGCACCAAATCTACGAAGAAAAGTCCCTTTTTAACATGTTATCTGACTTTCTGGCTCTCATTTACAAACCAGATCAGACTATCCTATAAATTTTGGAAAGTACAGAGTCCATCTTTCCCCCAGTTTCTGTACTGAATTGACCAAAATCACAACTCTAGTTCTGTTTAGAACTTAGATATAAAACCCACAGTGCAGGTAATGTCCTGACACAGACATCAAACACAGAAATCTTAGATTATACTTGCCTGCCTGATCCAATCTGGCTTTTGTAAAATGGCCAGTTTGCATCACTTAGGACTAATCTTGACCATTAGATATGGGTCTAAGCTCCTATATAGTTGCATATTTTTAATAAAAAGAAGTATTTTCTGTTGAACCACAGTAGTAAAAATCCTGTGACAATCTCTCACATTTTTTCACCGTTGACCAGAATGTTAAGCCCTTTCATATAGAAAATATTTTTGCAAACTTTCTCCAAAGATTTTGTTCTCAATGGTGAGATTTTAGCAGCATATTTAGAGTTTCTGACTTCAGAGTAAACTTTTCCTTAATACCTTAGCAGCGGTTTGGTATCTGGGTTTACTTGCATGTGTATCAATTCTTACATTTGGGTTTGGGTTTGGTTTTTTTGATATGGTGCCACAAATACCATGTACAAAGTATAATAACTGTCCTTTTCTATGATTAAAACCAGCCTGGCATATTCTCCTTTCTCCCTAATTAGAATTATTCATTTTCATAATTTTGATGGAATTTTGCAAGAAAGTTACCAGCTTTAAACCTGAGTTGATGAGTGTTCTCTACTGTTTATCAGCCTGTGTTAAGGAAAACAACATCAACTAGAAGTCTACACTGAAAATCGTGGTTTGTTGCTGCTGTTAGCTGAGACACATACAAAAAATTTTTGAGCCTTCTGCTGAAAGGCAAATCTGGTTGTTTCTGTCTGTTCCATATTTTCATGGCTTTTGTTACATTTAGTTAGATTTTGTTAGGCTTAGTTAGATTATGTTTGTCCGTATTCTGCAAAACTATTTTTTCATTGTAAATTACCATTTGTACATGTGAAGCAATGCACACGTATCTTTCTTCACATGGATGTTTCTTTGCAAATGCATATGTATTGGATTTTTGCATATAACATCTCCCCTTTGTTTATTTTGTTATTGTAATTTAAGTACCTGCCTTTGAAAACAGGGATCTTAAAATGAACTATTTTTCCTAAAAGGCAAACTCAGGAATGAATATAAGCATTTGGCATAAATTCACCCCACTATAAATCTCTTCCCAGACACTGGAATTGGGATCTTTCCGCCTTTCCACAAGGAATCCATCCATAAATGACAAACTGACTATGAAGCAGCAGGAGATGAAAAACAACTGGCTACGACTCCAGGGACAGGCCAAACAAAGGTAAAGACTTACAGAATGGTTTGAATATCTCTCAGCGGGAGAAAAGCTTCTCTCTGGGGTCTAAACTCTGCTTGCCAGGGGCCTCTTAAAAGTTTTTAAGGATTCTTTACAAAGTTTACACAGGCATCTAAGATACCTACACTGGAAAAAGTGGGAGTTGATACACACAAAATTCCACTGATATGACTTTGGGAAAACTAATACAATTTTTGTGGTTTATCCCATTAAATAATGTTACTAAAATGCCTTATGACTATCAAATTAAATCTATCATAAAGCCTTTGTAAAAGACTTATTTTTGGATAGTTCGAGGAGATTTTTTTTTCTCAAATCTTTCCAAAACAAGAAAGGCTTAGGCCTGATCTGTAATCATTGCTGGAAGCAACAGCTATGAAGGCTTTTTTACCTTTCTTGTGCTGATGAACTGATGTAGTAAAAATAGTAAGCATGCTGTCTCCAAGGCAGTGTGCATTTCCTATGATTTTAGTTAACATGGGGACTGCTAGGAACTGTAAGGGAAAGCTTGAATTCATTTCACTTGGCTTCTCCTAAGATACTTTCCTTTGCAAATGGGGAGAGAGAAGCAACTAAATAATTCTGTGTTGGATAATGCTGAATTGCACATTGTGTGGCAGGAAGGAGAAGCTGGCAGCTTCATACCAGTTACAGAAATTCAACTTGGAGATGAAGGAGTTACTAGACTGGACCCAAAATATCAGAGGGTTAATGGAAGCAGGGGGGCTTCCTAAAAGCGCAAATGAAGCCGAAAGTATGATTGAGGAGCATCAGGAGAGAAAGGCAAGTATCATCATTGCTTCCAATTGAACATACTGGGAACCTTTCCCGTGGGAATTATTTGCTGCAGATACAGCAGAATTTTGCTGCATGCATCTGTCAGTAACAGGTGAAAAAACTTTTCAATACCAGATTAGAGATAGAAGTCACCTACATATTGACAAAACTCTGTCTCGTGGGCTGTTTGACACCTTGTGTCTTTGCAGAAAGGCTCAGAAAGCCCCATTAGCTCTCACCTGTACTGCCGTCCAAGCCTGTAGTTAAAAAACAGATTCAGTATCACACTATGCTTGCTGCTATCTCTTTATTCAGATTGCCCAAAAAGTTCATGCCAGTCAATTCTGGCTTTGAGTCAGTTTTTTTCATGCAAACTCCTTTTACCTGAGAGAAAAATAGAAACAGCAGTTTGTTTCACACAGGGCAGTAAATTACCATTGAACAGTGCTACTCATTCAGTTCCAAAACACTTCAATTGCAACAATCTTTTGGTGACTAATTTGGCTAATATTTTTGGTTTCTTTTCTAAAAGGAGTGATATTCTTAATTAACCTTAGGGAAAAAAAAATCAATATTTTACTTTTTCCCAAGCATCATAGCTGTCTTTCAGCTGTTTTCTTACATCCTCTCTGCAATTATGTTACTTTTTCTAAAAATTGTGTTCTCAGAATCATGACTAATATCCAGTGCTTTATGGGTCCCATAATTAGCACAAATAGTTAGTAGATTCCGATTAATTTTCTAAACCTGAATTTAGTACAAAGTACCTGAAATTCCCTCTTTTTTTTTTTTTGGTCTTTAATTTTAACAATGCTTTCTTGTATCACAGACTTCACAATGCTTTTGTGACACTAAAAATATCCCAAACCACTGATGTAGTGTGCTCGAAATTTAAAAGGAAGCAAGATCTAAGTTTTTAGTAAAGGAGCCCAAATGGCTCTGAGACAGCCACACAGAAAAGGAGGAATCCAGGCAATATGTTCTTATGTTGACTAAACTAAAATTATAGACAACACAAGAAAAATTGAGGGTTTTTTTCATTCAGGTTAGTGGCTCAAACCAAAGACCTTCAGGGAGACTAGAGGTGAACACAAGATGCTAATGTGAAACAAAAAAACCCATGAAATTATTCTTTTACAGCTGTGTTATGATTAGGCAAGACCACAACCCCAAAAATCCCTAAAAGCTGCAGTTCTAATTTCACAAATTTAATAGTACATGTCATAGTGTTTAAGGTAGTTTATGAGTTAATACATGGTATTATTTCAGTGCACGGTTATTTTCATTTTCAAATTGCATGCATTAGAAATTCCACATTCAGTTTGCAGGGGCCATAGTTGTTTTTGCCTCCAGGACTCAGTATATGGACATAACTCATTCCTCAGATCAGGTGCAAAAGTTAAATGTATTTCATTTTAACACCACAAAATAAAGTAAAACTATGTCTTTAATGTAAAAATCTGATGCCAAGTTATATGTCAGGAGGTGAAAAATTCTAGGCACTGTCTCTCATAAGAACTACCTTTATGTAGGAAGACTGGAGGTAGACTGTTTCTAATTTAATCCCAATTTTCATTTGTAGGAGAACAGTTATTCCTAAAGCAATAAAGTAATTTATTTTCTACACTTATTTTCTCTTAGCAATTCTATGCTCTTCCAGTAACATAGCTCAAAGAAAGATGAATGATTTTCCATACAAATATTAGTGCTGGAAAGTTACAGCCCATATTCTTCCCCTTAAGGCTTGTATTCTGAATAATTGGCTTCTCATAAACCCTTGACATTAACCTTAGTAATATATTTTAGGAGGAGATTGAAGCACGAGTGGAAAGATTCAACTCTCTCAGTGACTATGGTAAAGAACTTGCCAATTCTGGTCATTATGCAACCCCCGAAATTCACCAGTCCCTCTCCAGACTACAGCTAGCCTGGTCTGAATTGATCCAAGCATGGAAAGAGCGATATATAAAATTGTTTCAGGCACAAGACTTACAGGTGAGTAAAAAGACATACAAGAGAGAATGCACGTGCCACTGACAGTTTTCCTTGATAAAAACAGCAAATTTGTGAGATAGTATAATGAAAGATATGCTAATAATACCCAGTGTTTAATGTATATTTCACTGGTTTTCAGAAGACATGCTGAGGGCCAAGCACATTTAGTGCTTACAGGGCTTTAAGTTACAATCACAGAAATTTCTGTGAAATATGTGCTCATAAATTTTTCAAAGCCTTTAAAACTTAGCAAAGTGTGCTCAAACTCTCATACAGCTGGAAAAAAACACATACTTAAAATGCAACATCACAACTCTACCAAATTCTATAACCTTCCCAAAAAACATGGAGCCAGACAAGTATTTAAAAAAAAACAACTGAAGACAAATTTAGCATTAACAGAATAATTAATTTTTCCCTGGCTGGTTTTTTTTCCCTAGGAAAAGAACTGTTTTGGCTGTAGTTTCCTAGAAATACTTCCATGTAACAGTCATCTTACTTAAAAAATTTCTGCTCAAACAGGGATTTTAACAATGGTGAATGTCAAATACTTTAAATAAAAGCTGGGCTACTAGTCCCATCAAAAATCTTCATATATATGAGAACTTAAATCATATGGTATGGGCTGCTTTAATGCTTCTTTATGTATTACATGCTACTTATTTCCAGCCATGTTACTCAATTTTCATTGGCCAGTTACTTATGCAGCCTTCTCTACACCATTAAAAAACAATCTAGAAATACTTACATTGTATCCTATGTCTTAGACAAAAAGAAATAGTCCTATTATTAAGGAGAAAGTCACAATAATAATTGTTACATATGTTTTTTCTAGAATCTAGTGCTTATTGCCATCCAGTGCTATGCAGTTAATTTTTTAAATAGCCGTGAAAGTTCAGGGGTTTTCGGTGTACTCTGCCGAAATCAGGTTAGCCTCTCTTTTACAGCATTTTTTCATGTTTATGACTGCTTTTTTTTTCCCTATACAGAAATTCTATGGCTACGTGGAACAGATTGAGAGTTGGCTCAGCAGCAAAGAAGCTTTCCTAGCTAATGAGGACTCAGGGGTATGTGCTTTGAGAAATTACAATTTTCTCTGCAATCAGTCTGATGGAAAGGGGACTGTGAAGTATGATAATGTGCTCTGAACCTTCCTGTGGTCTTTCTCCTTACTGCTCTGTCTTGTTGGTGTTTTAGGGTCAGATTTCTTTCCTTGATACTTTACACAGAATGGGATTTTCAGCCCCAAGAGTAATGAAACAATCCAACTGCTCTGATTATAACAGGAAAGTGAGACTGCATAGAATCATAGAATGGTTTGGGTTGGAAGGGACCTGAAAGATCATCCAGTTCAAACCACCCTCCCATGGGTGGGGACACCTTCCACTGCACCAGGTTGCTCAATGCTCCATTCAGCCCAACCTTGTCATATCTGACCCAAATACACTTGCCAGCAGTACGCAAGTCATCACGGCTGTCACTGATGACATACCCAGTTTAGCTTTAAATTACCTATCACAGGTATCAGCAACATCACAATAAGTGATGTATGGGTTGCAAGAGCTGTGCAGGATGCTAGATATACGTTCTGATACTTAGCTTATCCTGCATCTTGTGTAGGTGGTGCTACCTAATTAGTTGTCTCTGCAGGAATTACAATGACATCTCAGAGCTCAGTATAGACACAATGTGTACAAATGGTATGAAAACCATAAAATGCTAGTGACTGGTGTCTGCCTCTGTAATTCTTGGCATAGAGGTATATATTTACAGTCCTTTCATTACAGTATGAGACTTACAAGGAGTCACCCAATCATATTTAGCTCAGCAATGTACGGAAAATACTCTGTGAGTAACTTCCCATCCAATGACTCATGTAAGCACCCAGAAGTTTAAATTTTCTTCTGAACCATTTGATGCAAGCTTTATTGCTTCCTTTAGAGTTGTGGGGAAGCAGAGTTTATCACGGTAACAACATTTTGACACCACTGAATCTATAATTAAAAGTCCAGAGGGATGCTGCAAAGAGAACTCTGAGTCATTAAGGTTGGGATTCACAAACATTACAAGAAGTCAAGTTCTGTGTTTCTCTCCAGATGAACTGCAATGTCAGACTTTAGTCCTCAAATTCAAATCTGGATCTGAGCTCTTCTAAATTCCATGAGTTGAAACTGAGGCTCTAATTTTAACCTCTTTCTGTGACATATTTGTTCACTTAACTGTGATTTCTGTTTGGCATTCCACATTTGCTTTGAACATAGCATCTGTCTTAAGATTGATTTATAATTAGGCTCTGATGTTTTATTTCTTGAGAAGTTATGCGTTCTATGCAGCACAACAATATGCACAAGAAACTAAGCATCCAGCAGCTAGTTCAGTTTTGACTCTGAAATAATGACCTCAGACCTTGCATAGAACCTTATTTAGGCCCCAAGTGTCATATTCAATGCCAATACATTTCGAAGAACAATAAATTTTCTTGACAGCTAGCTTGCAAATATGGGGTAAATGCCATTTAGATTCTGGATTATCAGTATTGTGGATGGAAAAACTCTGACTGAAAGCAGCTACCTTTTGTTGTCTTCTATCCAGGACTCACTGTCTAGTGTGGAGAGCCTACAGCAGAAACACACACAGTTTGAAAAAGCACTGGAAGTTCAGATGGAGAAAATTGATGAAATGGCTTCATTTTCTCAGCAGCTAACGCGGAATAAGCATTATGACTCAGACAATATCACCAACAGATGCCAGGCCATTCTGAGGAGGTGAAGTCAAACCTTTCCCATGTCATCCTTTCTGTGATAAGACCCTCTCCACGCTGATTAATATCTTTAAATGATTTAAGAGAACTAAAAACTGATTTGCATTTGCTCACCTTTGTGCTTTTCACTGTGGTATTCCCATATTGGCCTGAGCCTAATAATTATTTCATTAGGAGGTGTCCAAAATGCAAACTTAAGTGGAGGGTGAGCAGGATTCAGAAAAAGGCAGATTTCCGTAATTCTATATTCTGGCCTGGCCTTAAGGACAGTGCTGCAAACAAAAGACTGAGGTCTGCTGTGCCATTAAGTAATTCATTATCATTAAATACCATCAAGATAGGTCATTAGCTAGACAACTGCTTTTTCACTGCTCTAATGGGGTTGATCTTAAAGCCCTGCTCAAATTTCTGATCAGATCTCGCCCTTTCATGTGAACTACTTTATTTCTTGTAGCATGTTGCATATTGTTCATCATAAACAAATGTTGACAGTAAAAGCAGTTGTATTCATTGCTACAGTAGATGAAAAGATATACATGAAAGTTATGAAAAGAGATTGGAGATCCCTTATAATTAAAGTGAACATACAAATTTATTAATATGATCTTATTTGATACAATTTATTATTATCTCAAGTCTGCATTAACATGAATAAAGTGCTGCAGATCCAAAATTGGTAAAAAGATTAGAGGATGGTGTAGCTTTGGTTTATGCATTGCAAATACCATGATGCTTACAGTATTTCCACATAAGAAACATGCTGAGCTTATGTTCTCTTGAACTCTGAAAGGCAGTAATGGTTATTCCTTAAAGGCAAATATCATATGTATAGAATTTGTGTGTAGTTTAAGCATATCTATCTGCTAGGAATCCTTCCTATCAGTGCACTGATCATCTTCTCTAACAGTTCAGATCAAGGGAGTCTGTGTTATGGACATTTCCCTCCTAAAGAATGGAGGGTTAGATCATGTGTGTTCTGGAAGTGAAATTTGAAAACCCTTATCTAACTCACTCTGTGATTTTGACATCACACATCTGTCTTCATCTCAGAAAAGAGAGACTGCTGGAGAATGCTGCTGCTCGCAGACATTTGCTAGAGGAATCAAGGCTTCTGCAGAAGTTCCTGAGGAATTCCTTTGAGGTACAATTACACAGGATTACTAGTATTCTAGTTTCTCAAAACATGCTATGCTGCATAGGTCTGAATCCCTGGACAGATTTACTGCGAGAAAAATCAAGGAACTGAGTCTGGAATGAGATAATATTGGGGAAAATGAGGATAAGAATAAAGGGATATTTTTTCATCTTCCCTCTAGCAATCAGATGAAAGGTCTAATGTAAAATGGATGCCAGCAAAATGCAGAAGAAATGAAAGCATTAAAAGAGAATGTGCCACCATTTAAAAACCCATGAGAAGATGCTGACAATGGGTTAGAAATAGGGACATCATTGTCTGTTCTCCTTCATGCACACAGGTGTCCATGCATTTTCGCACTGCATGGAGCCTACCTGATGGAGACAGCCCCCTTTCCAGGTAACAGTGCTGGTAAGCAGACATAGAGAGGTGACTTTATGAAGGACAGGAGGAGCTTAGGGAAGCAGAACCTCAGAAGGACAGTTCACTTGGGTCCCCACTCTCTGATTCCCTGTTTTATACATATAAGAGGAGAGACTGACAGGCTGCACCTGAAGAAACACTGAAGGTTTTGGTTACTTTTGTTCTTTCCTCACCAAAGGTGGCTGCCTGGATTAATGAGAAGAATAGCATTGCCCAGGATGATAGCTGGAAGGATCCAAGCAATCTGCAGACCAAACTGCAGAAGCATCAGACTTTCCAAGCAGAGATCATGGCCAATAAGAATCATCTGGACTCCATCAAATCTGTGAGAGAAGCGGGGTTAATGGCAGGGGTGGGCAATTGGGATGAAAGACTCTGTGGATAGTCAGAGTTACAGTGATCTCAAACAAGTGAGGGGGAATCACTGTCCCATCACTGACATTATTCATGTTCTCTCTCTTAGGGGACGGGGAAGCTTGTTCTTTTAGTCCATCAAGAATTTTCTGTGTCCATCAGTTTCTTCCCACTCTCTCTTATTATCCAGTGTTAGCTTGCTATCTATATTCACCATGGGCGCAAAGGAAACAGACAAGTGCCTTCAATAAAAGATTCATTCCACTGACTTTAGGGACATCTCTCTGAGGTGGATGCCACATTAGATGTATACTTGTTTCTCTCCAGCGGAGAACCTAGCTGATTGGGTGCACAACTTTAACAAGCCATATAACAGGTATCCAACAAAAAGGATAAAGAAGATTTTTCAAGTGCTTCCTTTGCAGATACATACTAGTAGGCGAGATATGAAGGAAGCCTGACAAGCTTTGTCAGACACTTGGCAGAAGCTGTGATCAGATGATAAGTTTGGAAGGACAGACTGTTACATGTTTATTAACTATTTTCAGCACAGTGCTTACTAGCTGTATTTTGCAATATATTACTAATAATTAGATTTACTCCTCCAGATTCACCTGTAATCACTATCTTAGCAAAACCTTTTCTTTTCTCTTTTTTCTTTTTTCTCTTTTCTTTTCTTTTCTTTTCTTTTCTTTTCTTTTCTTTTCTTTTC